CAGCAGGAAGGAATATGAGCTGCTGGCCTCTGTGAGGGAGCCGTCCACCAGGTACTACTTCATCCTGAGCCCCTACCGCGGGAAGCGCAACGCTAACCTGCGCTTCCTGAACAGGCTGATTCCGGTGTTGCGGATCGACCACTCACATGTGCTAGTTAAGGTCAGCAGCACAGACAATGAGGGCTTTGTGAGGAGGGTCCGGGCAATCGTGGGTAATGTGGCTCGCTCCCCCTGCAGAAGGGTGTCCGTGGAGGACATGGCGCTGGTGGCCCGCAGGCTGGGCCTGAGGGTGGATGAGGACCGTGAGGAGTGCCAGAGGGCCAAGGAACGCATGGAGAGGATAACCCGGAGGATCCAGGATGCCGACGCCTACAGGAGAGACGAGCTGGGGTTGCAGGGTGAGCCTTGGCGAAGGGCCTCACAGGTTGAGAAAGAGGCCGGCCAGCTGCAGTGGGCACCAGAACCGGAGAAGCTCCGAGCTGATCTGCGGCGCCATCTGCTGGAGCTGCGTATGCAGCAGCACGGCCAGGAGCTTGCCTGGGGCCTGCAGGAGTTCATCGGGGGCATCAGTAGCTCCTGCCCTGCTGAGAGGCAGTACTTCGTTCGCTGGATGGAGTGGGGGCTGGCCCGGGTGACGCCGCCCCATCCTAGGCCAACGTTTGATACCCTATTGCCGCTGAGGCAGAAGCCCAGTGGGGCTATGGACTCGGGGGATCCTCCGTGGCCTGAGCGCTTGGGGGTGGAACACTTCCTGCGCGAGATGGGTCAGTTTTATGAAGCTGAGAGCTGCCTGCTGGAGGCTGGGCGGCTTCCCGCTGGCCAGCGCCGCTTTGCGCACTTCCCAGGCTTAGCCTTGGAGCTGCTGCTGACGGGGCTGCCCCTGGAGCTGGTGGATGGCAGCACCCTGAGCATTCCTGTCCGCTGGGTAACAGGGCTCCTGAAGGAGCTACACGCTCGCCTGGAGAGACGGTCCCGCCTGGTGGTGCTGTCAGCCCTAGGGGTGCCAGGCACTGGGAAATCCACGCTGCTCAACACCATGTTTGGGCTGCGGTTTGCTACAGGGAAGGGCTGGGGCCCACGGGGAGCCTTCATGCAGTTGGTTACAGTGGCTGAGGGCTTCAGCCAGGACCTAGGCTGTGACCACATCCTAGTGATTGACTCTGGGGGCCTGATCGGCGGGACCATGAGCACTGCTGGGGACAGGTTCGAGCTAGAGGCTTCCTTGGCCACTCTGCTTATGGGGCTGAGCAGTGTGGCTGTGGTCAGCCTGACTGGCACAAGGGACATCCCTCCTGCTATTCTGCATGCATTTCTGAGGCTGGAAAAGACTGGGCATATGCCCAACTACCAGTTCGTGTACCAGAATCTGCATGATGTATCTACCGCCAGCACCAAGCCGAGGGACAGGAGACAGCTCCTGGACCTTCCTGGTGACCGCAGCCGAGCCTCTGCCCAGATGCAGAGACAAGAGGATGGGCTCCGGACTCTGGCTGGCCTTGCCTTCTATGACCTTGAGAAACAACATGTCTGGCACATCCCTGGCCTGTGGCACGGGGCGCCCCCCATGGCTGCCGTGAGCCTGGGGTACAGTGAGGCCATTTTTGAACTGAAGAGGTGCCTGCTGGAGAATGTCAGGAATGGCCTATGTAACCAGAATAAGAACATCCAACAGCTCATTGAGCTGGTGAGTCGACTGTGACACACAACAGAGCAGTGGTCTGGTGCAGAGCCTGTGGTGGGTCCTGTGCTGGTAGGTCCTTTGCTGATGGGGAGGTCTGTGCCCCAGAGCCAGAGAGAGTGGCTGGTGCATGACTGCTGAAAGAGGCAAGCAGAGACGAGACAGGGTGCAGGCTCCCAAAAGGTGGGAAGAAAGGAAGTGACCTCGGAAACAGCGTGGAGATGTCAAGGGGAATAGATGAGGCCCTGGGTGGGGAGCCACACAGAAGGCAATTTGTACCCTCTCTCTGGCGTCCTGTCCAGGCTCCCATGGGGCTCTCTGTGCAGTAGCTGTCACTAGCCCTGGAGTAGGGAGCACCCCTTTTGTCACCGCAGCCCAGGCAGACAGTAGTAGTACAGGGTAGGGGGTTGGTGGTTTGTCAGAGAATGCAGAGGTGGCCTTGCCTCCACTCCACCCCTAGGCCTCCTTGTGCACAGAAAGGTCCCCATCAGAGAGACTTTTCAGTGATGATCCTGCCCCCCTCCTCCCCAGGGTGAGAGCCTACAGTGTGTGAGCACTCCTAGCCATATTTATTTATTTTTCTGGGAGCCTTCCCTGAGCCTACTGGGAGGGGCTCCTGGGTGGCCTCCGGTGCCCACAGCACCCTACAGCGCTGTGACTATGTGTTCCGTGTCTTACCCTAGCCAAGAGCACTGGAGACTGGGACTGTGCATTGCCCAGCTCTGTTTTCAGGGCCTGGTGCTGTGTGGGTGCCTAATAAATGTTGAATAAATGAAGTGAATGAGCATACCAGTGGTAGCGACTGGCAGGCTCTGCCTCCATGTGCCTTGATTCTCCTGTCTGCCTGAGGACTACAACACCTGTCTCAGGAGAGATGCACGCTGGAACACTTCAGACGCAGTTGAACAGATGCTGGGCTGTCCCTTTCAGTTTGTAGCATGCTTCAGGCTGTAGCTGGGAATGGTCCCAAATGTCTTCTCTGTAAGCGAGGTATCTCCATCCTGTCCTCTACTCACCGTCCACGGAGGAAAAGAAGCTAGGGCTATTCTATATGCCCACATAGCCCTGTACCTCTTTGTCGTCCCCTAGACTCTCTAGGCTCCCAGGCTCTCCTGGGCAGGCACATCTGTGCCAGTCCTTCCCTAATGTTCTTCCTGGTATCTTCCACAGTCACTTGTACCACAGGAACCCTATGAGAGTGGTGGGTCCTGCCTTGTCCCTTCTCAAGCCAGAACCCTTGCCCATGTTGCCCTTCCCAGGAATCACTGTTGCCTGTGTAAGCCCCTCTGTAGCAGGCACCAGCTCCTGAGGTCTCTGCACCTTGCTTCTTGACCTTGAGGCCTCTTACCCTCTGTGTTTCTTCAGAGGAACTGCGCCCTCCCTCCTGCTGTGATGAGGCTCCTACCATCTCTTGTGCTTCTTCCGCCTGACTGGGCTAGGTTCTCTTGCAGGCCACATCACCTCCTGCCAAAATGGAGCCCTCTGAACATAGGCCTGGAGCCACCAAGTAGCTGCTCCAACTTCCTGGGGCCCAGGGTGCTTTGCCTGCCACACCTTTGGCCTTCAGAATATTGCCTTCCATCTAGTAGCTTGGTTCTAGGCAGGACTGAAACTTGGCATACATGGCCCCTTACCAATACAAACAAAGGAAAAATTTTTGTCCCTTTTTTGGGAGAGGTTTTCGCTATAGGGTGCGTGCACTCACCAGAAAGAGAGAGAGACAGAAAGTGAGGAATCACCCCCCAGGGGGGATGGCCACGCTGCAATCCCTTCTCCATTCTCCTCTCGGGATCTTGGGCACACACGCACACGCGCCCAGTCTGAGTCCAAGCCACCGGGTCCAGGACTCGAACCGTGGTTGACTACATGGGAGTCCAGCGACATAGCCATTACGCTAACTGCTGGTCCCAGGAAAATCTTTCTCTTCTAAAACACAGAAAGGGTCCCCAATCCTTAGGTTCTAGAAATGTTCATCACAACACAAACTGGCTCTGCCATGGTAGGTCCATGCTGCTGTTGCTTGGCTGGCTGAGGTCATGGGGGAGGTGTGGGTTTGATTCCCAGCCCATCCTAGGGCCAGGTTTGGCATCTGTGATTCCAACTGCTTGGGAGGCTGAGGCAGGGGAATTAGACATAGCAAGATCCTGTGTAAAAAAAGTGCTCACACACAAATGACAAATTGTTGGTTCTTGCAGAAGTACTACAACTTCTCCCTTTTTTCCACCAGAGACACAGAAACATCCAGGGGCTTCTTCAACACTGTAGTCATTTCACCCAGGGTATTCCTGGGCCTCAGGTATAGGTACTGGGAACCCCTCTCAGAACCAGTGGATATCAACCAGTTCTCTTAAAGACATTCCTATTGAGCCATTGGGAAAGTCAAGACATGTTTTTCTATGCAGAAATGTGTCATGACTTTTCTGACGGCCCAATACAATCTAACCTAGGAAAGCTGGCCTGGTGGCTCCTTCCAAGCCAAGGATTCTTTCATGAAGTATGTCTGATGTCTAAAAATAAGTCTGACTGTTTGATTCCTGAAAAGTTGTGTGCATTTATTCTGGGGAAAGAGTTATTACTTTTCATCAGATATTCAAAGGGGTACAGATTCCCCAAATAGGTAACTGTTTGGTAATCAGGAAAATGATTTCCCAGGACACTGTGATACTAAACATTTGCCCAGAATATTTAAACTTTGAAAGCAGACTAGTGTAAAGACTGTATTTGACAGACTTGGACCAGGAGAGGTTGCAGGACCATTGCAGAAGACTCAGCAGAAAGCCCGAGGAAATCTGGAACTGTTGGGTGATGTTGAAGGCCATGGCCCTTGCAGATGTAGGAATAGCAGAAGAGGGGTCATTGTGTGTTTCCCTCATCCTTTCTGAAGGGTTGAAGTGTCATGTGCACAGGCAGGGAAAGGGGTTTGCCTTTGGTTCCCGGGACAGTGCTGCTCTTCAAGTTAAGTGTCCATAACAGCCCAGGGCTCAAATGCAGCATTGGCCTGCCTTACCCATTACCCATGTTCCCACAGCCAGTGGCCCCTCCTGCATCAGCTAGGCATCTACAGGGTCCAAGTGGCCTCAGGGTTTTCCATGAAGTTACTGAGCTGGAGCCAACTTGGTGGTCACAGCGTCTTAGAGACAGGGTGACAAGCCACTTCCAGAGGATGACCATATGCTCACAGGGTACCCCTTACTTGGATGAGAGGGGCCAAACCAGGCAGAGCCCCATTCCTGAAGAAGTTGGGAACACTTGAGATACAAAAGAAGCATCTGCCCCACTTCTGTAAAGTGGGTTGGGGCTGGCTTTGAGGATGCCCGTCCGATTCAGAACTTAGCCTTGTTTCCCAATGTCAGGTGACCCTTGAGCTAAGGTACTGTTAGCACTGCAGATCCCACTCCTAGTCCTGAGCAGGAAAGTGAGATATTCACACACTGCTTGCTCTTAGGTGTGCACAGGATGTGCAGTGCCACTGCACTGTGTCCACACACCAGTCTGCACTCCATGATGCTTGCCCAGGCCCAAGCATTTTAAACATGTCGAGTCAGGATCCATCTTGTAAACAATCCATGTATCTCTTTTCTTTTTTTAAAGAGATTTTTGCCATTAGGGCATGTGTGCTCACTGGAAAGAGACAGTCAGAACACTCTGTAGGGGGTGGGGTGGGCATGCTGCAATCCCTTCTCCAGTCTCCTTTTGGGATTTTGGGCACACGCATGTACCTGATGTGTTTCAAGCCACCCGGTCCAGGACGCAAACCATAGTCAGCTATGTGGGAGTCTAGCGATGTAAGCATAACTCCATCTGCTGGTCCCACAATTAGTGTATCTTAAAGTGCATTTGCAGCCATTTAAAAAAATTCATGGCATATTGAACTGTCTTCTAGTCAATAGTAGCTCAGTTTGCTGAGATACAGAACCAGGTAGAGCTGGTGTGAGGCAATCAGTATCAGTGTGGCCTTCTCTGGCAGCTACTCTAGCTCCTTAGATGGAGAATAAGCCCAGTAAATGAAAATAATTTCTTCCAGAGTCAATAATACATTACTTGACCATAAGCCTATCCCAAGTTCTTCCAGGACAACAAAATGGCATCACTGTGGCTTTGTGAACACTGTCAGGGCTACAGAAGGGAGCCCTGGTCCTATCCTCTCAGCCTTGCTCTTTTCAGTCCAAGGAGGCTTCTTGCTACCTTTCTGGGTGCTGGCCCACTCTGGCATACCTCTCCCCCAAAGCTGGCTACACGTCCAGACCCTAACCCCTGAGGCTGGTGCCACCTCCACTTAAGACCCACTTGAGGACTCTGGTCCTAGGTCACCACAGTGTAATTAATTGCCTTTCTGCCCTCCAATTCTGAGCCCCTATTCCAGATTAAGCAGTTTCTAAGAACTGGGGAATGGATGGTGTTCTTGGGCTCATTCCTCCATCCTGTTTTCCTTAAGGCAGATTCCATCTATTCCAAGCCCCACTTGGCTCCTTCAGGTTCTTAGCTTTAGCCCAGACTTTTCAGTCAGGCAGCAAGCATTTCCAGCTTCCCAACGTGATGCTTTCAGGACAGCAGGCTGAGGGAATAATTCCAGCCTGAGATCTGCTCTATGAACCCAGCCCCTTCTCCCTGTACCTCAGCAAGGAAGGAGTGGGTTATGGAAAACAGGTTCTGCAGTGGGGAGTGTAGGCAGTACTAGTTAGGATGAGTCCTTGGTAAAGGGCTGGTGGAGAGTGGAGTTGTCTTGGCAACTTACAGCCTGAGGCTGGAGGCCATGTTTTCCAGGAGCTGCACCTTGTGTAGGCTGGGCTGTGTTCTAGGACTGCAGATGGGCCATATCCTTGGAGCACTGTCTGGTGGTGGCTATGGTGGACCTAACTGGACAATCTCAAGTCCAGGGTCAGTGGGTCCACCTCTCCTTTGTAGCCCACGAGTGGTAGGCTTGGTGTTTACAGTCCCCCCAGAGAACTGTCATTATCTTCTAAGACCCTGGGTAGGATAGGGTGGAAAGACGGTCCAGTAGCTTGCCCCATTGAAGGACTTCTGCAGTTACAGGTGTAGGAGCCCCTAAATAAACTGAATTTGACACTGCTTCTCAAGCCCAGCTGAAACAAGTCCCTAAGGGGCCTTTACAAAAAGCATAGTGGTCTGCCTGCTCCTGAATGGTGTGGAGCCCCGTGGATTTTACTCAGTGATCAGGGTTGGGAACTACTGTTCTCAGAATGTGAAAGCAACTTCTGGGCCCTCCTTATTGTGGTGTGTATATCCCTGTCTCTGTGTCAGACCCTGCCAGGGCGAGGGGGCCCTTGTCTTGATAGCTTGGTCCATCATCAGCCCCTGAAGGACAGTTAGAAGTCACAGACACCCAGGCCATTCATTCTCAGTCCCAATAGTCTGAACTCTCCCCTCCACCAAGCAATACCCTGGAACCATGGGAATAAGAAGGTGGAGTACTGACTAGTTCTGTAGCCTCAGGTGAGTCTTGGACCATCCATCTTTCAGTCTGCACAGTTGGGAAATCTTGCCTGCTCCTCCGGATTTATGAGAGAAGCAAAGTGCATCAAATACCAGAAGGAGGTTATGGAACTAAGCCCCTTAAAATGCTTATACTGGTGAGTTAAAACCATGTAATAATTAACACTAATGGATTAAATACCTCATTTTAAATTACTTTAATCATGCAAAATCACCCATCTGGACCTTTCCTCTAGTGAAGGAACCAGCTGAAACCTTATTTTGGAGCATCATACGGTATAACCAAAGATAATAAACACTGGGTAGCTACAGGGAACTTCAACCACCCAAACGGGTACTGTACTTGGAAAAATCCAAGTCCGTTTGAAATCCCTGGGAGATACTGCAGACCTAAGGGGAAGCTCCTTGAGAGGAGCAATGGCTGGTGTCTTTGCCTGCGTCTTGTCACTCATTAAATACTCTGGTCCTACCAGCTCAGAGTTACTGTGAAAGCCTGTTTCACATATAATTAAGCTGAGGCCTATAAGTATCGAGACTGTCCCGTGCCGGCTGGCTCCAAAGCCGTTGTGTCAACGCAGTCAGTCCTGGATGTGCAGAGCTGACATCCCCTCTAGGGTTAGGCTGCTGGTTTCCTGGGGTCTGGGTGACCTGTGGGTCCTCTTGCTCTCCCGCCGTCCTCTGGGCGGCCGCCGGGTTTGGTCGCACGTGGCAGGCTTCCCTGCTGTGCAACTCGCCTGCAAGAGCTAGTGAAGTTCCACCCGAAATACATTCCCTCTGTGGACAAGAGCCCGACTTACACGCTAAACCGAGGCTCACTGGCTTCCTGGACCTCCGCTCGGCCGCCCACTTCCGGGCCTTCCGAGACAGGCAGAGAGGAAATGCAGAGGGGCCCCAGCTCCGCTGCCAGCTAGCAGCGCCCTCAAGGGCCGGACTGACCTGCACCCCGGCAGACACTGAACCCGCGACCGGAGGCAAGCCGAGACCCAAGCAGAGCCCCGGAGGGCTCACAGATCCCCTCGACCCAGTCAAGCTCGCTACCTTGCCCAATCCCTAAGGTCCGGCCCCGCCCCACCAGAGGTGCCGCCCCTTCCCGTGCCTGGCTCGGAGGCTCGAATCCACCCACAGAGGCTTCGGGGCGGGATTGTCTCGCCCCGGCCTTCAGTTCCGCAATCCTATTGCCTCGCCCCGCCCCTGAAGTCCTGGCCCACCCCCAAGCCCCCAGCTCTGTCTGGACCCGCCCCCGAGCTCGCAACCCGCCTGGTCTCATTGGTCTGGTCCGCGAACCCTGCTACGCAGGGTTGTGGCACGTCCCACGCTCGCTTCTCGGCCAAGATGGCAGCGCCCGTGTGCGGCCGGGACCTGAAGCAGGTGACGGCGGCTGGGGACAGCGGGGGTTGAGTGGGTAGCTAGACATGAAGGGTCTCTAGCTTCCGTCTTACGCCTGCTCCTATCACAGGTGCTGTCCTGGAGCCGGGAGCTGCCTTGTGTCTGGCGCGCCCTGCACACCTCCGCGGTCTGCGCCAAGGTGGGCTGCGCGTAGTTGGGGAGCGCACCGCGGGGCTGAGGATCGAGCTTGGGGCCAGGGGTCGGCGTCGGGAGTCTTTGCGCGAGGCTAGATCGGAGGTCGGAGTCAGGGATCGGAACCGAACGTGGCCGGCTCGCGGGTTTCACTTTCCGTTCCACTCTCCCAGAACCGGGCGGCCCGTGTTCGCGTGGGCAAGGGGGACAAACCGGTGAGTTACGAGGAGGCGCACCCACCGCACCACATTGCTCACCGCAAGGGCTGGCTGTCTTTGCACACAGGTGAGACCAAGTAGGCCCTTCCACCAGGGGAGAGAGGGGGACCCCGCTGAGCGGGAACTCGTACTTCTACGGATGACTGCAGGGTCGCATTACGTAGAACTTACTGGGATGTGGAGTGGCTCAGAGGCAGTGGCACGGGTGAGGCCCCCACAGAACCCCCAAGAGTGCACTCTAGATTATGCAGTTTCTCTCTAGGGCACATGTTTTCTCTACATTTAGGTACAGCTCATCCTCTTTATTCACGGATTCTGTATTCACAAATTCTGTCTAGAATATGTTTATAATACCAAATTAACAATATGAGGGCGTTCAAAGTCACTCCGAGACAACAGAAAGCAAGGAGCCTAACGTGCATTTTCCCAGACAAGGCCCTACCTGTTTCATCTCTCTTGCTCTAAAAAGTGTATTTTTGTGCTCCAGTGCCACATTTTTTGCACTTTCGTACTTCTTATTGGTGATTTTGCTGATTAAAATGGCCTGTAGTTCTGAAGTCCTGTCTAGTGTTCTGAGGACAAGAAGGCAATGACTTCCCTATGGGGAAGATGCTTAGGTGAGCCTTGTTCAGGCTTGAGTTGTGCTGTTGGTTGAGAGTTCAGTGTTAATGGACCAGTACTGTGTACAAGGTGTCCTTAAACATAGTCAGAGACGCCTGAAACTAGGTTATGTATTGATTTGTTCACCAAGTGTTGTGACCAAAGGCTCGCAAAAACCTAACCCTGCTTTTCCCTAGGAGCAATGGCCCAGTGTTTGGTAATTCAGTGTTTGAAGAGACTTTACAGAAGTTCTATAAACTGATGGGAGTCAACTGTGTTGTTCAGCATAAGGGTTTTCAACTTGAATATTTGAGATGCATCCAGAAAACTTACTGAAAATACAGATTCTGGCCCCCACTTTTCCACTGACTGGTTCCTAGATCTGGGTATGGGTGTGGAGATTTTTCTAATAGTTTCCCCAAGTGGGTTATAGGGGTTCCAGGTTCCACACTGAAAATCTTTTGGTGGAGGCCATGGCTCTGGCTCAGGAGAGTCCCTAGTCTCAACATATAGCTTATGGGCCCAGTTGTGGTGGTACATGCTACTAAGACTCTGCTTTGCAGGGTAGGACTAAATGGGAGTCCTGTGTTCATTTCCTGGTCCAACCTAAAGGTGGGCCTGTAATCCCAAAGACTGGAAAGCTGAGGCAGAAGATTGCGAGCTCAAGGCTGATCTGGGTAACTGAGACCCTGTCCAAAAAAGAGCTGGAAGGCATGGTATATGCCTATGGTCCCAGCTGGGAAGCTGAGGCAGGAATATTGGTACATGGTAAGACCCTGTCTTTAAGAAAACAAAGAAGAAAAAGAATCATTGTTTCTGGCCTTATCCTTCCAGCCCTGGAGTGACCAGTACATCTATAAGCAGCCCAGAATGACTGGGAATGGGGCTGGGCTTGGGGACCTCACCTGCACTGGGTGACTGCTCTGGCCTCAGCCCCTCCTTTAAGAGAGAGATTTTTGCTATAGGATTTGTGTGCTTGCCAGAGAGACAGACAGAAAGCAAGGAATCACCCCCCAGGGCGGATTGCTACGCCACAATCCCTTCACCTTCATTCTCCTCTTAGAATCTCAGGCAGGCGAGCATGCATGCCTGGCGTGAGTTTTAAGCCGCCAGGTCCAGGACATGAACTGCGGTCGACTATGTGGGAGTCCAGCGACGTGACCATTACACCATCTGCTGGTTCCAAATTTTAAAGTGTTATTCTGGTCTCATTAGTAAAAAGAAAGTGAAGAAGCTGAGAGTGAGGGGTGGAATTAAGTGTCTGGTGCTGTTGGATGCTAACCTTGGAGTTCTGCAGGCCCTAGGTTATCAAGGCTGACTCTTTTGTGTCCTTTGTCTTCAGGGAACCTGGATGGGGAGGACCATGCTGCAGAGCGAACGGTGGAGGATGTCTTCCTTCGCAAGTTCATGCTGGGCACCTTCCCTGGCTGCTTGGCTGACCAAGTGGTCCTGAAGCGCCGGGCTAACCATGTGGAGATCTGTGCGTTAGTCCTGAGGCAGCTGCCTGTGCATAAGCTCTACTTCCTTGTGGGTTACAGTGAGACTCTGCTATCCCACTTTTACAAGTGTCCTGTGCGACTCCACCTCCAAACTGTGCCCTCAAAGGTTGTGTACAAGTACATCTAAGATGATCCCGTTGCATGCATTGAACTGCAACCTGGAAAGGCAGATATTTGTGGAAAGAGAGGGGATGTGTTTCCCTGTAGAGGACTGAGTCTTCTCTAAGATGCTCTTGAATAAAGACCTTTGATGCTCTCTTGCCAGTTTATCTTCATTCTTTAGGAGCAGGAACTAGAGTAGTCTCTGAAGGTGTTCCAGAACTCCCAGGAGGGCCACCAGCTGCCTGAGGTTTAGCTGGCAGTTGTGGGTCAGTGAATACCTTGTGTCCATCACTCCATCAGGTATTTGGCTTAAAGTTCTTTGTTTTCTTTCAAAATGGAAAGATCTGTTTTTGGTGATAAAATAATCAGTGTTTATTTTTATTTATTTATTTATTTATTTTAGAGATTCAGGGCATTTATGCTTGCCAGAGACACACAAAGAGACAGACAGAAATCGAGAAATCACCCCCCCAGCGGGGATGGCCACGCCACAGTCCCTTCTCCATTCTCCTCTCAGGATCTTGGGCATGCATGCACATGTGCCTAGCATGAGTGTTAGGTCGCCAGATCTGGTGCTCGAACCATGGTCAACTATGTGGGAGACTGGCAACATAATCATTACATCATCTACTGGTCCCAATCAGTGTTAATTTTTTAAAAAATACTTTGCTATAGGATGTGTGTACTTGTCAGAGAGTTGGGGGTTGAGGGATGGATGGAGTGATAAATGACCCCTTAGGATAGATGATCATGCCACAGTCCCTTCTCCATTCTCCTCTTAGGATTTTGGGCACACACACACATGCCCAGAGTGTTTTTCTAGCTGCTGGTCCAGGACTCATCATGCAGTTGGCCAGCACAGTTGGCCATGTGGGATCCACCTGCCTTAACCACATGCTAAACTAATACGTAGTTTTTAAATTGCTCAGAGGGCACATGTGCCTACTTACCGGAGAGGGAGAAAGCACCCCTCTATGGGGCATGGTTGCACCACGTTCTCTTCTCCATTCCTCCTGTTGGGATTTTGGGCATGTATACATATGTGCCTGGCATATTTTATAATCTAATGAGTCTGGGACTTGAACCACAGAGTTTATTTGTTCAGAGGTCATATGTGCTTGCCAGAGAGAGAGACAGTATGAAATCACTCCCCAGTGGGGTGCGGTCACACTGCAATCCCTTCTCTATTTTCCTATTCTGTCAGAATTTTGAGCATGTACTCATGCACACACACCTGTTATGTTTCCTTTTTTTTTTTTAAGAGACATTTTTGCTATAGGGCACACACACTCACCGACAGAGACAGACAATAAAAAGAAATCACCCCTTGCACATATGCCCAGCATGAGTTGTTTTTTTTTTTTTTTTTTAAGAAAGATTTTTGCTATTGGGGATGTGCACTCACCAGAGAGACAGAAAGTGAGAAATTATCCCCCATGGGGAAAGGCCATGCCACAGTCCTTTCTCCCCTATTCTCAGGATTCTGGGCATACATGCACATGTACCTGGTGTGTAGTTTTTTTTCAATGTATTTTTTAAAACCTTTTATTATTTTTATATTACATTTACTCATGTGATTCTTTACAGTGTATAACATTTCTTTTTCCCAGAACAATTACCATGCATATCAGTCAAGACAAAGGCATTATTATCCACATCATCAGCAGCAAATAGCTTTTTATTTTTGTCAGATTATTATTATTTTTAAAATTCTCTTTATTATTATTTTTAAACATTCAATCACAATACATCATTTGGATTGTAAAGAGAATTTACCCAACATGAAATACTTCTCAGATGAGTCCGACAACTGATCTATTTTCTGTACATTGATTTATTTTTCCTACAGTTTCATATACAAGGAGTCATTATAGAATTTAAAAATATATATTTTTTATTAGTCATACATTAAATTACTATACATAATTTAGATTGTGAAGAGACTACCCAGCATGATATACACTCAGCATGATATACACCTCAGTCCAGCCCAGTTGAGACTATTATACACATCCTCATCAACAGATAAAAAATGTAATCTGTGTCCCACAAGCATATTACCTCTCCGTCTTCCCCAAAATTTCCTTTCCTATGCTTTTCCCCTCCCACACTCTCTTTCCACTTCGTCTCTAGTGTCCATTACAGTTTTTAATATTTTTATGTTCTCCAGTCTTTCAGTCTCTACCATAGAATGCAGTTGGCATATGTTAAGTGGAGACATACTATGTCTCTCTTTAATAGCCTGACTTGCTTCACTTAGCAACAAATCTTCCATATTCGTTCACTTCCTATCAAATCCCAGGGCCTTGTTTTTTTGTGGGTGAATAGTATTCCATGGAGTATATGTGCCACAATTTTTCAATCCATTCATCAGTTTGTGGACATTTGGGTTGGTTCCAATTCTTAGCAATTGTGAATAATGCTACAATGAAAATAGTTGTGCAAGCACTTTTCTGAATGAGTGCTCTCCTGTACTTTGGGTAGATACCCAGGAGTGGAATTGCTGGATCATATGGTAGCTCTATTAGAAGGTCTTTGAGGAACCTGCATATTGTTCTATACAGTGGCTGGACCAATTTACATTCCCACCAACAGTGTAGGAGTGTTTTCCTGTCACCACATCCCCTCCAGCACTTACCATTATTATTGTTTTTTAATCTTCACCATTCTGACTGGGGTTAGGTGGTATCTCATTGTAGTTTTGATCTGCATTTCCCTTACAGTGAGAGATGTTGAGCACTTTTCCATATGCTTTTTGGCTGTTCGTATGTCTTCCTTAGAGAGTTGTTTATTCAGCTCCTTTTCCCATCTTTTAATTGGGTTAATCATTTTCTTCCAGGTAAGCTGCTTTGAGTTCCCTGTGTATTCTGGTTACCAGTCCCTTATTGAGGCAGAGTTAACAAAAATTCTCTCCCATTCTGAGGGTTGTCGATTTACACTGATTACAATGTCCTTCGCTGTGAAGGAAATCCTTAATCTAATGTAACCCTACCTGTCTATTTGGGGGATTGTTGCCTGTGCTTTTTAGGTCTTGCTTAAGAAATCTTTGCCTACCCCAGTGTCTCCCAGAGTTTCCCCAGTGTTTTCCACTAGTAGTTTTATAGTTTGCGATCTTAGGTTTAGATCTTTGATCCGCTTTGAGTTGATTTTTATTAATGGTGAAAATAGGGATTCAGATTAATCTTTCTGCAGGTGGATACTCAGTTTTTCCAACACTATTTGCTAAAGAAGTTTCCCTTTTCCCACTAGATTGACTGGAACCCTTTGTCAAAGATGAGTTGGCTGTATGTTTTGGGGTTTATTTCTGAGGTCTCTACTCTGTTCCATTGATCCTCATTTCTGTTTTTGTGCCAATACCTCGCTGTTTTGATGATCACAGCTTTGTAATTTATTTTGGGGTAAGGGAGTGAGATGCCACCTACTCCAGTTTTCTTGCACAGGATGGCTTTAACAAAACCGGGTCTCTTATGGTTCCAGACAAATTCTATGATTGTCTTTTCTAGACCTGTGAAGAATGTCTCTTGTAATTTTAGCGGGATTACATGAAACATGAAGATTAATTAGGGTAGGATTGCTATTTTAATTATATTGATTCTGCCAATACTAGAACATGGAATATCCTTCCACTTTTTAGTGTCCTTTTCAATTTCCTTTTTAAGGTTTTCATAGTTTTCCTTGTAGAGGTCTTTGGTTATTGTTATTCCTAAGTATCTTATACTTTGTGTGGCAATGGTAAATGGAATTCTTCAGTTCTGTCTCTGTCTGCTTGTTGTTTGTACACGAAATGCTGTAGATTTTTGTAAGTTAATTTTGTATCCTGCCACTTTATGCATTTACTACTTTGAGAAGTTTTTTTTTTTTTTTTTTTTTATGGATACTATTGGGTCTTCTATGTTTACAGTCATGTAATCTGCAAACAGAGATAATTTTAGTTCTTCTTTCCTTATTGGAATGCCTTTTATTTCCTTCTTTGTCTGATCGCACTAGCTAGAACTTCCAGAACTATATTGAATAGGAGGGGAGAAAGTGGGCAGCCTTGTCTTGTATCCGTTTTTAGTGGAAAAGCTTTTATATTTTCCCCATTCAGTATAATGTTAGCTGTAGGTTTTTGATAAAAGGCATTTATTATGCTAAGAAACAGTCCTTCTATGCCAATTTTACTGAGAGTCTTGGTCATAAAGCCATGTTGTAGTTTGTCAAATGCTTTTTCCACATCGATTGAAATGATCATATGATATGGTTTGACAGGAGAGACTGGCCCTTGCTCTCCAGGAGCTCTCCAGTTCCATCTCTAGTCTCCTGACCAGCAAGGGAAACTGAGGCAGGGGCACCACTGTGCCAAGACCACTTCTAGGTTCCCAAGACCAGGACCCCACTCCCTTTAAAGACTAGACTGGCCCTTGCTCTGCTGGAGCTCTCCAGTTCCATCTCTATTCTCTTGGTCAGCAAGGGAAACTGAGGCAGGAGCTCCACTGCCCCCAGCCCACATTGAGGCTCTCAAGACAGGACCCCATCCTTCAGAGAGTGTGGCCCTTGCTCTGCAGGAGACCTCCAGTTCCATCTCTAGTGAAGAAATTAATAACGACATGGAAAATCTATTCCATGAAATCCTGGAAAAAAATTATCCAAGTCTAGAGAAGCACTCAAGCATCTAGACAAAAGAAATACAAAGGACCCCAAATAGACTCAACCCCAGAAGATCTTCCTCAAAGCACATGTTAGCCAGATTGTCTAAGACCACAGGTAAAGAGATTCTAAAACTGGCAAGAGACAATCCAGAAGTGACTTCCAAAGGTCATCCTATCAGGCTAACACTTGACCTCTCATTGGAAACAATGCAAGCAAGGAAAGAATGGGAAAATGTATTGAAAGTGTTAAGAGAGAAACAATTTCAACCAAGATTATATCCTGCAAGATTATCTTTTATATGGGAAAAACAGATTAAAATCTTTTAAGACAAACAAAACCTAAAAGAATTTGCCAGCACCAGACCAGCTCTCTTCAAGAAACCCTGAAGAAAATACTGTTCCAGGAAAAATAAAGAATTAACAGAAACAAGGAAATAAAAGGTAACTAAGATAATGGCCAATTTAAAGATTGGGACAGATCCAGTAGCATCGATAATAACATTCAATGGGAATGGATTAAATTCTCCAAT